TCAGGGTCAGAGCAACACTTCTTCCAAATGTGTATTCTTCATCATGTGATTTTGATTCGTCATTTGACTTCTTTAGCTGTGACAACATTTCAATATCAATTGGATCTAGTTCTACTTTGTGCTTCTTTACTTCTCTTATATAGGTTTTAATAATACCGGTGATGACCTATTGGTATAAATATTATATACATGTAGTTATTTTTAAAGCAAGAATCATCTCTTACATTGGAGTGGGACTACTGATGTCACTTGAGATTTCTGAAGATTTATCTTGTGAGTTTGATTCCATCATGCCCTCAAAGCTGCTTTCATTAACATCCCCTAAACTATCACGCACATTTTCTTCAAATATCATATTACTTGCTGTCCTAATAATTATCAATGAAAACAATAGCAATTAGTTGATACCCTACATATGTATACTGTCTATGTTTTACAAAATCTTTCAAAAAATCCATCATAGGATAAAACTCCCACTTTTTTTCTACAGAATCAGCTCCAGTACCTGTTAGTAATTTTCTGTGTTCTTTAGTATAACATTCTCTCAACGTTTTCCAACGCTTCGAGACCGTTTCCACTAAGAACGTAAATGCATTACATTTATACATCAATTAATACACAATAAAGCCATTTACTATGTATTTACTTTTTTATGCAGAAATACATACAACAGTAATACTTACAATAATAATAATAATCTAATTGTACAGTGAAGAACTAATCATACTAAAGTACCAACTGTGCCATCTCTCTTGAGTTGCTTGGAGATCTGCACCCAAGCATTCTCCTTCCAAACTACCTTGAAGTCTGGACTCTTATTGTCATAAAGGTACGGGTATTTTTGAACATGAAAGATGAGTGCCTCATCAAATTCAGCTAGCGCCATTTTTAGTATAAAAGCTCTCCCAAATATCCTGCCCACCACACATGGATTCTATCATTCTATTGGTCAGATCACTACGTTTACCGTAAGGAGTTGAATTGAGTTCAACCCTGCTACGTGCTTGCAGTGCGTCAAGTTACGGTGTGAATTACTTAAGTAGAGTTGACTCAGCTTTTGCATTGCGTTGATGCTGCAGTGTGAATCGGCCTTAAAGGAATTGATTAATCCATTAGTATGAACCCAATGACGTCACGTTTAGCCACACTCACCAACAGGAAATAATATGGCAGGAAGTAAAACGGGCATTTTTGAAAACTCATATCAGTGAATAATTTTTTTTGAACTATAGCAGTTGTCACACTTCATTAAAAAGTTCAGGCAACCATAATTATTAAGGCAATAAAACAAATACCTCCAAAAACCATTTCAGTTACCCTTTAATGCTTCAATGCAAGAAAAGTATAAGGCACTGGAAAGTAAAGGAACAAATCAACAATTTGCCTATTTTTTAAGGTAGATGCCTGCCATAATATCATTGAATTGATGTTAGAAAGTCTAGAAACTGAGAAAACAAAGTTAGTATGTGTAGATGGTCTTGATGAATGTGGCAGCACAGCAAAATTTGACAAAAAACAAGAAAGAATTTAGAGAAACTGAAACATCAACCAAGCAAAACAGCCAGTTTAAAATCTGTATTGTATTTAGCAGTAGGTTGTAGAGTAATGCTATAATGTAATATTGATGTGACTGTAGGATTCATTAATGGTGCCATTGGTCCAGTAATGAGTATTTATGCTATACGTATATGAATTAAATTTCATCATATTGATGTACTTTGTGACATTAAAAGGGTGACATCTAAATTTATGCAATTTAAGAATTTGTATAAACACAGAAAACATTTTCCCATTATAGTTTCATATGCTATTACTATACATAAATGGCGGGGCCTCTAACTAGATACAGCCATTATTGACTTATTGACTGATGTTTTCGGAAATGGTATGGCATATGTTCCATTGTCTCATGTAAGTACATTGAATGGATTACATTTGATCCTCTCCCTGTTAAAGTTAGTAATCCGTGCATTAATGAAATTAATAAGCTCAAAAGTAAATTTCAAAAAGACTTACCGCATCAAAAAAGTAAAGGAAACAAGAGAAGATTCAAGTGACTGGTGTAAGTGATGATGGTGAACCTTGTAGTAACAATATTAAGGTGTCTGTAAGTGTTGTAAAAAGTACTGATAACAGTACTGTTAGTAGCAATAAGCGTAAGAGTACTAATTTACAAAAGGGTACTTGCCCTAAAAGAGTAAAGTATATGATGATAACGCTTTAAATGAGCCTTGCCCAAAAACAGGAATGTTGATATAGACTGTAGTACTGACAATAATGCTGTGGTACTGCCTCACCCAAAAACTAATGATTGTTTTAATTATTTTAATAGACATAAAAACCATATTTAATGTTAAAAATGATTATAGTTGTAGTCGTCTCATTGTGTCTTTAAAGCTCCTAAACATTAAATGTAAACTGAAAGATGATAAAACCAAGTGGGTTGCAAATATTGACATCGTTGTAGTAGTCTGATTGTATGTTTAAAACTCTCAAGCATTAAATGAAAGACAAGTAATCCAGAAAAACATGTCATCATCACTTATGAAGATCCTTCCAACCCAGATATTGTTACGAGGAGACAAAGGGATAATGTTTATTACCTTGGTAATGAAGAATTTCAAAGGTGGTGGATTGAGATTTTAAATTTTAAAATGGTCACAACTGCTAGACTCGTTCCTGGTAGTCCAATAACACCATTGTCAGATAAAATAATTCCTATTAGTACTCCTGATGTCGCTGGTAATGGGAACCGTTTATTTCATGCCCGGCCATATCTCATTACTGGGTAAATTTCTCAGCATTACGAATTACGTAAAGCAATTGTTAGCAATATGCCAAACTTTGAAAAAAAATAGTTTGATAGTACATTAAGTGCAACCAGAATGCCATGTAACTCCTTGGTACCATATCTAGGCCAGCCAACAAAAGTCAGAGTAAGTGAATAAATATATACCTAACATTCCTATTAGTGTAATAATCAATGTGTCAATGGCCCACGCATAATTTCTATACATGTTAGAGTTACTTATGTAATCATATTTGCTTGAGTATTGTCATGCTAATACACCTGCTTTGTATTTCAAGCATGTCAGTACAAAACATTTCAATGCGGTTAATTGGTCAAACCATTGCAATGACCTCAGTGAGTCATCATCACTTGCATAAAGAGCGTATGTGGGAAGCGTATTATAAGCTATGTTCCAGTGATGAATTTAGTTCTTTGTGGAGTACGTTTTTACAAGTTAATGTTGGTTTAGAAGCTGATCCTGTCTTCCTTGAATATGTTATGAAGTCTATCATGGAAGAGAATATTAAGAGCATGTTTCAAGTAAAGGAGAGAAGTGGCAATGAGGAAGCAGATGCAAATTCACCACGTGCATTGGATTATGAGGAGCACAATGCACTTCGTTACACTGCAGGGTTTGTGATACAGGCTCAGAAGAAGGTCAAGAAGTCAACTCACAAAGAAAGATATGAATTGCTATTGTGTTTGAAAGAATTGGTACATCCTGTTGGTAAGATTTTCAATTCTTTTATGACATTTTTGTTTTTTTTTCAGATCCTGACAAAGAAGCTGTTTTCCAATCAAAGGACTGGACATTTGTTAGTGACCGTTTAGGTCTAGTTCACATTGGTGACACAACTTACATGCTTTTTGTTGTAATGGAATTAGAAATCGGCAAACATTTGTCAGACTTGAATAAATGAACTAATTTTAGGGACACAGCCATTGAAAATCTACTGAAAAACAAAAGTTTATTCAATGCTGGAATGATATCTCAATCTGTGGTGAAGAATCAGAAGACCTCATATCAATGATTGTTGAACATTATATCACAGTAAGAGGATTCTCTGCAGCCGGGGCTGTTATGGAGAGATACAAACTAAGCAACAAAAAGAATGTCCAAAAGAAAAAAGCATTAAGAAAAACAATTGATTAAATAATTAATTTAACAGAAAAACTAATGATTAAAAATGAATAAATTTTTCAATGTTGATGGAGAGCAAACACATTACTCTTTAGTAATCTTTCTTTTTTTCAGCAGAGGCGTACAGTCCAATTTATTTGCAGGTTCTGATGTTTGAGGACAATTTCCATTCACTGGTCCTCGGCAAAACGAATTGATAACCCTCAAGGTCTCACTATTTCTCAGAAACTGCTGTACTGTTGGATTATCATTGCTACCACCCTGCTGCCACTGACAGCCAAAAAAGTCTCTAGGGGGTCTTGACAAAGAAAGTTACTTAGAAACGCAAGTTTGTTTTCATGTACTTCCTTTAGTTGATAAAGGTCTCTCACAAATTCCACGAAAGCTAAACTTATGCAAATTAGTGAATGTAGATAATTATACATGTAGATCAATAGATCAACATTACTTGTACGTCATAAATCAAGTGTTGTTTCTGTACTCAAAAGCATTCTCTGCTTGTCTGAAGCTGAAATGCCATCCCTGTCTTCACATATTCCTCCCACTCATCAAGGTAAGGTAAAAAACCTGCTCTAACCACTATACAGAGAAGTAAAGTATTTCTTTGTGCAGAGTTATAACACACTTCTAGTCTCTCATCACTTCCATTTCGATATAGACGTAGAAATTTCTTCCTCTTGTGTGCTCCTTCATCAAAACTTCTTACATTTTGTCTGTCAAAAAATTTGTCAAATAGAAGAACATATCATGAGGTTTTCAGAACTACTGGGCCTCCAGTTAAACAGAGAGCCTTACCAACAGACTCACTAAGCACCTGAAAATGTAAAATAATGAAGTATAAATATGTCTACACAAATTATTATATGACTTACCTGGGCAGCAAGGTCAACCCGCATCTTAGAGAATGACGTTAAATGCAGATGTTCAAACTTCAATTTAGGTACTAAAGCAAGACCAGTTGCTTTTCCATTGTCTCTGTGATATAACTAGAACAAATCTCTCCATGAGATATACTTTCCATTAATCTATATAAATTTTCATATAATAATTATAATTAAAAGGATTATTTTACTAACCCATGTCACGAGCCTTGGAGCACCGTCAATTTCAAACTGTCTTAATTAAATGTGGTGGATCAGAGAAAAAGTAGATATACCTCTTCTTCGCATATATGTTGAGTGCCTTATAAAGAACTTTGGAAATACTGTAATGTAACATAACTAATTTACGGTTGAGAGATGTTCCATCAGAAGTTGTTGCTAGCACCTAAACAAATAAATTTAATTTATCAAAGCAACAAGCATGAAGTTAGCTACAAACTCAATTTAAATCCTATTCTCTCAAGTCGAGAAATGGCCTCCCAATAAGGTCCATAAATCATGTCTCCAGTTATGGTAGCACAAGGGAACTGTACATATGGAAATTTTAATGTAGTGAACTGTCCCCGAACCATAAGTACCATTGCTTTTCAAAACAGGAGCAGGAGGCTCACTTTCAGCAAGCATGGACTCTTCCAAGGAAAGCAAGTGATTGTTAACTGAACCCAGATCTACAAATCCAATCATCTTGCCTGCATTCTTGTTATAGACCAAACTCTTTCACATGGATTTCATCGATCAAAAGATCAATGAGATGGTGCCACTCAGGAGATGTAGACAACTTAGCAGCAATCATTAATTGTTCATCAACCTCATTAGAGAACCCAGATTCAGACTTAAAACAATGCAAATAATCCCGAAGTGTTCGTTTTGATGGCAAGTGAACACACCCGGAATCTCTAAGTGTGTTGTATGCTTTACTTGATATATGATGAAGATATAAGCACCACCTAATTAATAGTGGGTCCAAATACACACCATTTTTATGTTTTGCTGCTGCTTTTTTTTGCTGATTCCAGTAAATTCTTCGAAATGAGTCTTCTGGCAATTCATCCATCATTGATTGGTGTTCTTTT